TTAAAGCTGCAGCAAGTAACTTTTAGAAAAAAGTTAGAAAGTAGAAAGTTAGAAAAGTGTAGAAACTTTCACTAAGTCCTGACAGTAGTACATGAGACAGATAATCTGTGAAACAATCAGATTCCCCTGGCTCTTCCTAGCAAGAATGCACAAGGCCTGTTGAGACTCCCAGGTCGTCAAATACCGACAATTTGGGTTGCTGGCTTCAAGATAGTTGATTGATGAGTCTCCTGGGAAGAAGTCTTAACAATCAACTATCTTTCTCAGCTCTGATTGGTGGTCTTTGTTCAGGCCTGGTGGATTCTTGCAAATACCATCAGGAGCATTATATTTTTTCACAGATTATTTGTCTCATGTACTGTCAGTATATAGTTTTTGTCAGCAAAAAAAAATTTACCTACTGCAGCTTAATACAGATGTACATGGAAAAACTTTCATTTTTCCTTCTTTTTAGCTCTTAAACTACAAATGTACAGAATCTCTGGGCGGTGTTCACAACAACAGATGTATACTTACGGTTTCATGTTAAACAGATCGCGTACAGCCACATTGGCGTTGCACTCGCGGTTACGATTACGCTCTGTGAACAGCTTGTCCTTAGTCCAGGTCATGTGAACCCGTTCAGGCCCACTTTCGGCCTTGTCGTTTATCGCGGCGTGAGACGCTGTGTTTCTGTCATGGATGAGCTGGGCCTGGAGAGAAGGGAGAGAGAAGGATGAGGAACTCGAGTACTGGCCAGGAGATATTTTAGGGGAAAGACAAGATGAAACACAACCGAAGAGACATAAAAATAGGGGTGGTGGTACAAATGAACGAACAAGGAGAGGGTGACAAAGAATTGATGAGGATTCAGAGTCCAAGATTATGCCAGAAAGATAAAAGAAAGCTATGAATGGAGAGGAATAGAAAGAACATTTGGGGAAAGTTGAAGGAATCAAAAATAAATTGTGCAAAAATTGACAGATTGACCAGTGAACAATTACAAACTGGGACAAAGGAAATAGGGAAACCAACAACTTTTCTTCTACAAGGTGATGAAAGTTGGGTGAAACCATGCTATAGAATAATGTGAATAATACAAACCTGTTCAACTGTTAGTATAACACCCACATACATAACAAATACACAGTGGGCAATATCTCTGGGCAGGATAAAGGTCCCAGGAAGGGTTGAACATTGATGGGTGACAAGAACGGAGGTGGTGGTGAAAAATGAACCAGACTTGGAAGGTATGATGTCAGTGTTCATATTGGATTCAGGGCTTCCAAAGATTATTACACATGCTCAAAATATGTTACTTAAACAACTACAAAGCAGGTCTATAAACCTATGATGCAGGGGTAGTGCAGGGTAGCATAGCAGAGCAGAGCAGGATCAACATACATCTTTATTAGAATAAAATATAATTTGGTTGTATTTGACAACAACTTCCTTCACTTGTGTTCCTGTGATAGAGTACAATGTTAACAGTTATATAACGACAGGCAATGACAAATGATAACAATATATTATGGGTTTATTATCATCTGTCATCATAAAGATATGGATAATGGCCTCTGTGTTCATTGGTACCAGCCGATATTTGATAAATGCACAACGGATTGTAATAAAAAAGCAGGTGACATGTTACATTATTGAATATTCAATTTAGTATGCCTTTAAATATGAAAGGCTGTGTAGTGCACACTTTTTAACACACTATGGTTAAGTTAAAATAAAATATAAAGAGAGCACAGTATTGCCAAGTCCGACTGGTGAGTATACCACTCCTGGTCTATAGCTTGAATGTGCTGCAATGTACATCCTTTAATAACAGTAAAATGACAGAGGAGTTTGTCGTTAGCTCAATCAAATGAAGTCTGTTTATGAAACATGTCAGACTCAGGCTTTGTGCTCTTGGCCTGCTAACATTCAGCTCAGATCAGCTGAGCTTTGAGCCTGCAGTGAAGCTGTCCAAAATGTTAGAAGTTTTTATGATCTCATCAGTTTATAATATTGACACAATTGTTTCAGGTTTCTAAAACAATACTGCCCACTCTTTCCATTCACATTTTTTGGGGAGGTGGGGATGAGGTGGGATCATGGAGGTAATGGGAGGTCGGGCATCAGTTTCAGGGTGGCTTGTATTCACAAAGCAGCTCTTGATGACAGTAATATACAGTAATATACAGTAAGTATCACTACTGTTGGGCTAGTCTGGACTGTGTTTAGATGTAGAAGATGGATGCATTCTGTAATCATGAACCAGCTTTTCTTTCAGGACTATTTATAAGCTTGTTCGCCAGTGACCTTTCCCAAACGGGCTAATTTACCACTTAGCACTTATCAGATTTTACACTGCTATAATAACTGGCTTGTAGTCTTGGGCTGACTACGCCTTCACACTGGTGCATTCTATGTAGACCAACTGGTTTTGGCCAGCTGGAGCCGGTCCAGTGCAGCTCTAGTACCCTGAACTAATACCAGTACATAGTTGTACTGATGTTAAGCCCACCGATACAGTGCCAACTCTTCTGTTAAGATTTGTTATTAAAATCAGTGCCAACATTCACAAAAGTCTCTTCAGCACTAATAAAATCAACTGTAAGTTTTTAAATATTGATTATACTTTTTATACTTTTTCGGTATCACAGTCTGATGTGCACACTAAAGTAATTGAGATCAAAAAGTCTGACTCACCACTTGCACATCTATTTTTAACATCTGGTAAATGAGTCCAGATTTCATACCATGATGATAAAAGTCATGAAAACAGTCAAATGCCGAGCAACAGCTGCAGCCAAAGATCCAGCTTTGTGAAGACGGGCCCGTAAGTCTAACAGTGAGGGACAGTGGGGTTGACAAAATGGACTACCTCGTCCTCCTGAGTGTCCTCCATCGGTGAGGACTGCTGGCTGAGGGTCAAGCTCTGGGCTGCACCCTGGTTCTTCCTCCGGATTGAGCTACGCGATTCATCAGTGATACTCTGAATCTGAGCCGTGCAGCGTGGCCCAGAGAGGCGATGGCGGATGAACAAGGAAAGGGGCCAATAGTCATATAACGCAGCGGTAGGCCAGATTTTACTAATATACTAGGGAGATGTAACTATGGATGCTGTTATAAATGGAAATAACTCAAAGAGCTTAGTTTACATTCGGTACAATCTGACCTGTAGAACACACTAACAGGGAGAAAAATGAATGACATTCACTAACTTGAAGATGTTTATGTGCTGATCTTATTAGTAGCTAACAAAAATACTGCCTTCTGCTGTGTTGAATTGCAACTACGGAGACAAAGCGAGTGTGAGTGCAGGGTTGCATTCAGGTAGATGGAGTGTACATTACCTCTCTCTCCCTCTCTGTCCTGGAAAGTTGCATCTGTTTCAGCATCTGAGACCTCTGCTCCATCACCAGGGTCTTCTCATAGGTGAAGGCTGAAATGTCATTATCATGCTGCACAGGAGAGGACAGAAACACTGTCATTAATACAATACGGAGCAACAGGACTGCAAAACCTCTGCCAACGCTGAACAACGCTGTCTTTCAGGTTTGTCTTACTGTTTGGGAACCAAAATAAAGACGTCTTAAATTTGAAATGAATATCAAATTATATTCACTGGGCCTTTGCAGAGGGTTGTTTTGCCTCTAGATTTTATCCAAATCATAGATCTCTTATCACCAAATACATGACAACATAAATAATAACAACTGTAAAACAATTGAATATTCTTTATTTATAAAGGCCTTTAAGAGTAAGAAACAGGATGTAAGGCAGCGCTAGTCTATCAAACAAAGTCTCACCATCTCCACCACTTCCACTTCCGCATCCAGTCGCAGGTGATAAAGGAACATCTGGAGATCTTTCTTCATTTGGATACTGTTGTCATCCATCTGGGCCACAGTGAAGATGCGCATCTTACACTTCCTCCACACCTGGAGGAGGGAAACACAGTTATAGAAGGAGGTGGAATGTAAAAACAAGAGATGGTAATGGTTAGATGCAAAGCAGTACAGAGGGGAGGGGAGGAGGGATGACAGTGACGTCAGTGTCAATAAGGGAGAATTCTAGGGTAGATGATATGCGAATATAAAAGCCAGATCCTGGGCATTCATATTATGCAAGGAATTAGAAATATGAAAAAAGAATTGTAGAAGTCAAAGACAACCTGAGACACACACAAACCTTGTGCTGTCGCAGAAGGAAGGGCAGCAGCATCAGCAAGCCTCCATCATGAACCACCCACCACACGTCAATGGTCCCCTCCCCCAGGCGGTCCAGGTTGGTTGGGAAACTGTCCACATTCTTAGCCACAAGCAAGGCCTGATGGGCCGCTGTGGTCTCCCGCACCATCTCTGGATGGACAGAGGAAGAGAGGGAGTGTCTATGAGAGACATGGCCTATTAATCATTATGTGTTGTCTATGAGACATTTAGTCATTGCCATCTCAACAGAAGGATTGCAGAAGCAGAAGTGCAAATATGCAACGTAAAATGCATTAAATCCTATGCATTTTTAAAAAGGCATTCTTTGCATTCCGAGTGTTCACTGATTTCTACTTTCAGTCCCCCACTCTGTACCTATGAAATTCTTCCATGACTGTGGGTCATTGGATTGCCTCCAGGTCCCAGGCCAGGCCATTAGGACTGTGTTGTGCTTCATGCCTCCGAGCCCCGCAGACTGGATGAGGTGGGAGAAGCCATCTCTAATGTTTGACGACACCACAACATGGCAGAAACCTTTTGTTTTCTCTGCTGACATGGAAGATTTGATGTTCTGGACAGAGAAAGGAGGCAGGAATTGATACGGACCATTGAGAAAAATGTGAAAAACATGCCATGGCTACTCAAGGGGAAATAATCTCTGTTTAATTCTACAGTACTGATCCTTGACTGAGCTTAACCCCAACCTCAAAATTAACATTCGGCACTCTCATTAGTATCCCTCCAGGAAAATTCATAATGGTGGGTCTGAACAATGCCCATGAATACATCAGTCTGTGTAATCTGGAATCCAGCTTCTGCACATGATTGCTTTTGTAGAAAAAGTAATCCTCTGATTAAAAATGCTTTTGAGGACACAGTCAAATCAGGTTGCAGAAAAAGAATTAATTTGGCCAGTAGATGGCAGAGTTCATCTGACTGTAAATCCTGACAGACAACAGATTCACTCGAGTGGGGAATTTCAAACTCAGCCCAGAAAGAAAGATGTACTTTAGTTGATTTTTACTATAATAATTTGCAATGGATGCACAGAAAATCAATGAGGAAGTATAAAACATGTTACATGTGACCATGAAATCCCACTTCTAGTAGAACAGGTTTGTATGAGTAGTGCAGAGTTGGGGGCAATTTCCAGAATACCTGTTCAGCCCTCTTGGCCTCAGCGTCTTTGGTGAGAAAGGTTCCCTCTATAACATTTCCCACTATTGTGAGGCCTTTCCCTGCCTTCAGCTGAGTGGTGAGGGACAGCAGTCGAGGGTGTTTGACTACTTGATCTGAGTCCAGGTCTAGGAGCACCAACAACTGAGGCCTGGGTACAGCAAGAGAAAAGGAGAGAAAGAGTCAGACAGTATTGCTTTGCAGGGTGAATGAGAGATTTTTATATCCTTATATTTCAGAAAGTTCAAAAAACAGCAACAAATATCAGTGTGGCACACACCAGTTAATTTGTGTTTACAAATAAAAACAAATGTACTCTGTTGTAGTCACACATTTCCAAGGCCTTTAATAAATGAAAACAAGTGCCTCGTAAAGTAACAACAGTGTGTAAAGCACATTATTTCTTTAGAGTAGGCATGGCAGAATTATTACAGTATTACTGGTTCACACTCAGCTATGCAGGGAGACTTTAATTGGAGTAGAACAGGAACCTTACAGTCCTACAAGTACATGTTTAACATGGGGCCAGGAAGCCTTCAATGAGAACCATCTGTATAATTGGAAACATCACATCCCTAAGTAGAGTATCCACACTGAACATGCCAAGAAAGTAAATGAAACTTGTTTTGGTTTTTTTTGGACAGGCAGTCTACAAGGTCAGCCAGTGCGAGCCTCAGTACATTGTGAAGGCTCGTCAACCTTTTCTGTCAGATTAGGTAGAGGACCAAGAGATTAATCTAAATGCACCCTCTGTGTCTATTCCTGTCTCTCTTTTGTCCACCGCAGCAGTGACAGGTGGCACTATGTCACACACCCACGCACACACATGATATACTGCACCTCCAGTTTTTAGTGTGTGGTGGAGCCTCCTCAAGGCGGATGAGGGCGTAGCGTGCTGCGTTGAGAGACAGGCCACGGATGCCGTCTCCCCACTCCTTCTCTGCCCTAAAGCCAACAAATGATTGATGATGAATTAAACAACAAGGAGAAAAGAAATGAGAACACATGCACAGAAAGATACAATCCTATGCCAGTGGGTGGATCTTACACTGAGTCTTACACTGTTTTCATAACTGTTTGGTGTGGTTTAAAGGATTTCTTGTGTGTTTTGCCAATTTAGTGCAGTTCCTTTGGGTCTGTGAGAACATTTTCTGTTGCAACACGTATCAGAAAAAAGATTCTCTACTAGTAGCATTTTGTTTAGCTCAGCTCAGTTTAGCTTAGTTTAAAACTCCACATTTTGAGATTTTATTTTGAAGGATTACACTGTCCTCACTGGCGGAGAAGAACACTTAGTTCCTTTTAAAATAAAGTGGATGAGTCTTAAATGCATGCTTGCTAATCTAAGAATTTAATTCACTGTGTACCTATGAACAGAATGACTGCATACAAAGTCTTTCTTACCCTCTGTATTCGATGTATTTGTAGATGCAGCCAGCGATGACCATGGCTACAATAGCATAGTACCAGGAAGAGATGAACATGAGAGCAAGGCACAAGCTCATTCCCAGGAAGGACAGAGCCCTACAGGAAGAAAACACACGCTTTACAACTCCGCTCCATTAACTACATACCCATCCCATTTACAGAACTGTTTCAGGTTTTCTGCACATTCATGGAAATGTCTTAATGAAATGAAGCCAGTTCAGAATGGACTGGATGGAAATCCACTGTATTGTCCTTAGCCTTTGTAGTGGAAGTAATCTCAGTAAAGGCCATCATCACTCAAACCGCACTGAACAGTGTGTCTCTGGGTGTGTTTGTGTGTGATTCTTGGTGTCCTAAAATCCTCATAAGGAAAGCCTCAGCCAGTTAAATAAACCTGACAAATTTGTTAAGTGCAATGTTTTGAGACCCTCAGATTAACCTCAGAGACTTTCAATATCTTCTTCTCTCACTGGGTGACAGTAAATATAGAGAGTGTGCTGCAGAGGGACAAAATACTGCAAAACTGAATCATTACCCACCAGTGGTAGTATTTGAAGCGTGGCCTCCAGTTAGGTGTCCGCAGCAAGGTCTGAACTGCACAGGCCAGGTTGACAAACAGGTAGCACATGAGGAAAAACCTGTGGAAGGTAGACGATAAGTCAAAATATGCGCTCACTTATCATCTGAATCTCCTCTTTATGACCGACTGTAAGAGGCTTTAAGAAGCAAAATACTTGAGGGATTACAGACTTTATCTGCTGATCTGATTTTATGGAAAGAAAGTAAAGCAATACGCCTATGCAAACAGATACTCACATGGAGAGAATAGGAGCCACGGCATCCAGGGAGGCGATGAGAATGCCGATCTCACAGATCCCAGCAGTCAGCAGCAGAGCCCAGGTCGGTTCTCCATTAGCTTTCCCATGACCAAACACCTAACACAAACAGCCAGGTATGAACACTGAAGTTCAACACACGAGAAGGAGAAGAGACTGCTCAGACTATATTTGTGTCTCCTGTGTAACCACTCTAACCTGTAAGAAAGGTACGATGCCGTCTCGTGCGATGGCCTGCAGCAGACGTGGGGCGCCAGTCAAACTCTGTAGCCCTGCCCCGCAGCAGGAGAAGAACGAGCCAATCACGATAACCCAGGGTGAGGGCCAGGATAGTGTACCTATAACGAGGTTCCCTTTCACCGAGTCACCAAATCTGCAACGCAAACACAATTATATACATTAATCAGATCATATTTATTTATTCAGCCTTCAACATGTAGGTATTAGGACTGTGTATTAGCCAAAATCTCAATATGATACGAATCACGATACAGGCGTTACGATTCAATATATTGTGATATATTATGATTTAAAAAAAAACTAAAATTGTCATAGTATAAAGAACATACAATCATGTGCATAAAATCGGAGCATAATCTTTTATGCAACCACAACAGTGGGACCTGCATTTGTATGGATCACTGTGATGTTTTAGTGCCTTTTATCTGTTCTCAACAGATGATACTTGCAGAGAAAAGGAGGAGAAAACAATACAAAACCTGTACTGTTTTCCTTCCAATTCCTTTTTATAAAATGTTTTTATATGAACATGTGAATTTAGCATACATGTGTGCAGCATTTTACAGGATGTCCTGTGTTACACTCTTACTTGTCTCGTAGCAGAACTCCCTCAATGCAGGCACCGAATAGCACCACACAGGTGACATCTGGGAAGCACTGTTAAGGAGAGTAAATCCATAGACAGACTCCACACACTACCCATAATCCAACTGGTGCTACTTGCTCTGTTGTATTGGGCCTTTGCCAGGCTTTGATTCTTGTTCCAATGGCACCAAAACATTCCTGCCAACAACCTCTGAACCTAGCAACTGAGGCAACTGAGAGATAAACAGGCAGGGATATTAGGCATCATTATATTTATCATCTCTACCAGTACTTGAGCTGATTAAGCTAAACATTTTAAACTACAGTTGTAGCCGTGTGACGTGTTCTGGTATCAGTCAAAAAAAGGCTTAAGGATACAGATGAAGGAGGTGGTAGCGATAGCCAGGATGGTCCCGATGGGGATGGACTTCTGGGCATCTCGCAAGTCACCTGACCGGTTTGAACCAGCCATGATACCTGGAAGAAAATCCAACATGAAATCTTTAGAAATGGAACAAAACACTATGGTCTGCTATTTTGACCATAATGGAAACTACTACACACATACACTAATCATATCCACATTAGTCTGTGTTACATTTACCACAGTCTCACCTGTGACGGATGGGAAGTAGATGCCGACCAGCAGAGTGAAGAAGGTGGTGATATCGTTGACTACGTAGGGCAGGTAGATGTCCTTGGCAGGGTCACTTCCCCCAGTGGATGGCAACTTCTGGTCTTCTACCAACATACTCAGAGGGCCATACACTGACCACATATTTTCTACAAGAGACACAGAAATGTAATTAGACTCTAAATAACAAAGGCCATGCACTGTACAATTTGGTATGTCAAGCATGCGTCTCATCTTTCCAGTCATATCCAATTTATGCAATTCCAATACTGTTTGGTATGCAGAAATATTCAAGTAAACAATGCAAAAGTAACACACTTATACCGCATGCAAAGAAATGGTATAGCATGGTTTTTGCCCCAAACTGCATGGGATTAGCATAAATTGGCCATGTCTGTGAAGGGGAGTTAAGTTCCTTTAAATACTTCTATAAAGCATTCAACTGTGGTACATTAGATCCAGCAAAAATCTGATATCATTGTCCATAGAATTAAAATTGTGATCCAGGAAACAAATGGTTGGTGCTAAGTGAGCACTGGTGCTTAAAGCAGATAAGAGGGGGAATTAGAGGTTGTGTTTTTACTAGTACGAGCAGAGGTCTAGACTTCTAAAAAGACAAATACTAAAACGGATCTGAATCAGAACAGAAGGCAAACTATTTCAAAGAAAGAAAATTATGGTCAAAAAGAAGCTATTTGAGAGAGACTGGGGAGGAACTAGAGAAAACATAAATAAAATCAATTGGAAAGGGAAGAAAGCAAAAAGTGAAATAATCACATATGAAATCCCTCCTACACTCGCTTGTTCCAGATGCTCCACAAGAAATATGACTATTTTGTCATGGCCAACAGTTACGTAACATGAGGAATGTTCTGAGGTTGTACTGTATGTCATAAAACATAGCAGTTTCCATGACTGTGTAAAATCCTACTGAAATGTTAGTATTTAACAAACAAGCCCCTCCATTTATCTTGTGTAATAATTTCAAAGTGCAAAATTTGGCAGGTTTTAGTGGAGGAGACTGAGTGAGAAATTCTGCATAATTTTGACAAATATAGAAAAGCTGTGTATTAGGCATTGGAAAAGTTCAAAGTATAAAATAGGTGAGGGATCTTTTTTAAAAAACAGTTCCACCACATTAGCACAGTGCTCCAAAAACCTCCAGATGAAACTGTGTCCTAACCTGAAATAACTCCGCTGGCCATTCCAGGGATTCCCTGCACGCTGGTCACATTGTTTTTGGTGAAATACTCGTCGCAAGTGGCGTTGAAATCTTGCCCGTGACAGAAGAGCTTCCACAGCTTGGTAGTGACCGTCAAGTTATCTATAATCTCCGTCTTAAGACAGCTGTCAAAGTTTTGGTTCTGCAGAGTGCGATTCCCTAACATGCAAACACTGTGGAGGAGGAGAGGATAAGGAGACATGACACACTACTCAAACTATTTAAATGGCAAAAAATGGCATCATATGGTTCAACACAACATTAGAGGTTACTGTATACTGGACTCACGGAAAGTCCGGTGGCTCAAAGATGGTCTTGATGACTCCAGCATAGATGGAGAGGATGGAGAGAATGACACACGCCAGGAATACTAGGGCGAGCTTGTTGACATATTTCACCCCCACAAAGACAACCACGGCCATCAGTGCTAGGCAGCATGTGCCATAAACACGCATGTTATTTAGCAGGGCATCCGCCTCATCCTCCTTTTTGTCTGCCACAAAGATGGCCGCTTTAGGCACGATGTAAGTCTGCATGGGGAAGGGTGAAGGGAAGATAAAAAACAAATATGCACTTATTATTTTAAGTTAATAATAATGTACAAGTGTTGGAAATACAGTAGATAGCCACTTTACAGAAGTCATTTGTGCACACTCTTCACTTACCAGCAGAATCTCTATAGTACCTAGAATGTACATTGAGCCAGCGAAGGTTGTGCCCAGGTAGAAACAGAGACCTACAGCTCCACCAAACTCTGGGCCCAGAGACCTGGAGATCATATAGTAGGAGCCTCCAGCTGGGAGAAAAAGAGGGAGCACAGTTTAATCAGAAAAAGCTAACTAACTTCTCTTTCTTTGCAGGAATTAGTGGAGAGCTTGCAGATTTTCTGATACATACAACAAAGATCGTTGTAACCTAAATGTGCCTGAACTTCTCAGATAAAGATGTCGGCAGTCACTATAAAATCAACAAACAAGGAAGGGAAATTCTTTCTGATACAAATACATAAAGTTGGGAAGTAAATTTTAGTCTTACCTGGCACAACACCATTAGTAGCAATTGCACTCATGGATATGGCTGTCAGCATAGTCTGTGGAGAGAAAACGGTTAGGAACCACAGCATCACAACAAAACTCTGAAATCTAAAGAGCTCACACAGATGATATTCCTTTGAAATGTGAGTTCTTTTTGAGGCCAGTATCTCCTGTGAGGTTATTTTTACCATTTTATTGTAGCAAGAGAGTCTGTCATGTAGTTATCATCCATTCAAAACCAAGTATGACTTTAAGGATTTTTCGTTCCCACAAACAATTCTTTATTTCCAAGAAATAAATTATTTCCAGATTTTCCCAACAATAAGACACCTGAAGAGGTTAATCTAGTATTTAGCCTGTTAAAATACTTCTAAGGGGCTTAAGCTCTAAATCTTGTGGATTGGTAATGGATACAAGCTTTTCCGTGAAATCAGTCATTGTGGCGGAGGTCGTTTACATCAGCCTGTTACCTAATAGTGCTTCCGGATGAGAGAGAGAGGACGAGGCAGAGAGAAGGGCAGGGAGACAAGATAAGAGGAACAAAGACAAGAAAGGAGAGAGAGACATGAAAGTTAAAACTTAAAGGGTGAAAGAAAGAGGGCAAGGAGAGAGCATGAAGGTGAGTGAGTAGAAGACACAGACACTGACTAGAGGGGGGAAGATGAGGAGGAGGAGGGAAGCAGGGACAAGGGCATGATCATGATAAACCTTGCACTCATTGCTGAGCGTCCGGTTTAAAGTGGCAGACAAGCTGGAGTAAAGCCAATTAGCTGACAATTTTACCTCCTGCTTCCACTGAAACCCTAAGCAGCTATTTACTAGCTTGTCTTGACCACAAATGAATCAAATCATTTACTGGGAGGCATGTCATCATTGCTGAAAAATGACCACACAGTTCCCATAAGTTATGTGGACATGTGTTACATCACAGCCACCTGTCTTTTTGGAAACTTAGTGCTGGAAACTAATGCTGCATTCACATTGACCGGATATCATTTTAGTGAATGAGAGCAGGGAGGTAAAATTAGATGAGGCCTGCAGAGAATACCAACAATGACACACGGCAAAGATAAAAAAAATAAATAAATTAAAATATTTTAACTAGATGTTACGTAGCTCCTTCACACAAGGAGAAAACATGGGCAATCTAGACAGCGAGATGCTAATAATTTCATAATTACATAAAATAATACACACAAAATAATTGTATTTAATACATTTTGTTCCATTACTTGTAAAAAAATAAAAAATAAAATAAAAAAAATAATACAGCATCACAAATGCATGTTTAGCCTGTTTGTTTTTCCCATACCGCCCAAAAGGCGTTGTTCGTCTGCCTGAATCAATGCAGCCTTAGCGGAGCCAGAGGCCTGGTCAGGCCCACGCAGGGTCCAATATTTGCAGCAGATCTACATTAACCAAAAATATCCATGGACCTCAGAGTTAACCAAAACATCACTGACAGGACAATCGATCACCAAAAAGCTGAATCAATTAGCATTTCGTTTCCCTAATAATTCTTTAATGTTCCACATAAATTAGTGGGCTAAACTGATTAAATCAAATTGCTTGAAATTTCAAACTAAATACCTTAGATCTGGGTATTTCCATTCGTGCTTTTATACAATAATTACTTTAGTTTGGGGGTAATATGGTTACTAAAGTCAACAGTAATGAAAAGTTATCTATGTTCAGAAAAAGGTATCGCTCAAAAGTAATGCAGCCGTTAAGATCTCATTTACTAAAATCCCTCATGGTATCTATCACATTATAAACATTAGAGTATGGTTCTATAATAGTACACCTATTCATTGAAAGGAGTGGATATAATGCTAATGTGAAAGCATTTTAGAAAAGCACGTGCTGGCAGTGCCCTATAAACACAATGCACCTACTGTACATGTTGTTGAGCAATACAACCCAAAGAGCAGCGGAATCCTGACATGATGGAAAATATTCTGTGTGCAGTGTGGTGTACTGGGCTAATGAGAGAGTGTCTGTACTCTCAGTGTCCCACTTTTTGTTTTTATCTTTCAAAACAAATCTACATGTCTCTCCTAGGGATAATCTGATTATATCCAATATTCAGCATTTCTCTGATGATTGTAATCTTTTTTTTTTTTTTATCCAATTGCAGATAAACTAATTTTAAAATGTGCTACTCGGCTCTGATGTAGCTGCCTTTCTCTGTAGTCTGGCTTAATATCTAGCCCACAGCACTATCTGATTGGTTACACATCACTGAAGGTTGCTGTGGTAGACGGAGCAATGGAAATACTGGTACAGTACTTGAGTAAATGTAGTTTTAAACTCAACTCTACCACTTTATTCTAAATTTTGACACTATGATTTTTTACTGCAAATGTATATCAGTTCCAAATATTGGTAATTGTTTTGCTTAATTACTAATCATTTATATCTGTATTGGCCAAGGAAAAAAATATCAGTTGATCCCTAGTCTCGCCATTTGTAATTCTTAAGGCTGCAATTTAACAGTTTTTGTAAACAGTGAAAGGAAAATGAATCATGAGTGATAAATAATAAGATAAAACTCAGCTAGACACAACAAGTGGATTCTGTTTGGGCTATTTTTAGACATTTCTGGTGTTGGGTCTAGAGCACACAAAATATGACCTATAAAACAGGTGGCTGATGTGGAGCCATCAGTGCAAAGTCAGATGTGGTCTAAGCAGTGAAAATGAACATTAATCTGTCTGACTAAGCTTGGCTCTCTTATTATGTAACAGCAGCGATGCAGTGGAGGGTAAACCCTCCTAACGCACTAAGCTAGATTGGAATATATGAAATGGTGTCCCTATCTTTTTAGGCAAACAGTTCTTACAGCTACAAAATTAGATATAATTCAAAGCACTGTGTGCGCAGTTCACTGGGTTAAATATTTTTCTGATCATTTACAATACTTAATAAAATGTTGTAAATTCCAATAAATATAAATTTGAATAAATCTCTGAAGATTTGTGGCATTGATTGTTAATTTCAGTTACAAGGGAATGGAAACAAATTCCAGGTGTGCAAAGTTTGTAATGCTGTCACTTTGCCAGTCTGTGAAATTGATCACATTATACCATTAGAGCTTTCCATTATGAGACAAAGAGCATTCAACTAAGATAGTACTCGAGGTTTTTTGTTTGTACTTTCCCTGATTAAGCTTAAGTAATCCATTGTCTGCCGTGGGATTGGCAAATATAGCCACTGTGTGGGTGTGTATGTCGCTATGTTTCTGACACTTTGGAGATGGAGGGATTACACGTCAAGCTGCCAGGTACCATTAGAAGCTAGGAGTGTATGGGAAATGGAGAGTCACAGCGGCTAAATATAGGAAGGATCAGTGGCCACTAAGTCGACTTGCTGATCATTCATTACTGCTGTCATTCCAACATTTGCATCAGTCTACCATTAAAAGTTGAAGCAGCATCTGCCCCCCCAGTGTCATCACAGCACCGCAGCCGCACATGGACACATATTCACTGTCATGTGCTAATGTATTCATAATGCATTAAAGGGCTGGATGTGTACATTAAGTTCACTCTTACATAAGCTTGCACGTCATTGCTGCTTAAACTGTAAAACCTTGATAAGGGACAAATATCCATGTTAAGAGTCAGAGCAGCTCCATTCAGTTTGTATCATTTAATAAAAAACACTGAATACAACAGGGGAGGTGTAGATGTAGGGAGGTTTAACCCTTCAACTTTAATGTTAAAGGCTAAGATGGTCATGTGGGGCATGAGGGTTGAGTACTTACACAAGAGCAGCACAGGCAGACAATAGCCAAGGACTCCAAGATGCCGGCAGTGCCGACAATCCAGGTAAGTCGCAGAAACAGGATGACCCCCAGAATGTTCTGGAGGCAGGGGAGGTAGACGCCCATGAAGGTCCCCATCTGAGGGCTCTGTAGAGGGAGGGGGATGAGATGGGAGAGAAAGGACAATGCAAAATATATTAATGTGTGCATGAGCGTGTGTGTGTGTGTGTGGTGGGTGATTAGGTATAGAAGGGGGAAGGAGGGAGAAGAGCATGAGGTGAGAATCACAGCAATGTTGGTAACTATGAGCAGCAAAAAAAAAAAGATATGAGAGAAGAAGAAGGAATGAGGGGGGATAAAGGCATGTTTAAAAGGGAAGTGAAAGAGGAACAAAAAAACTGGTAATATATGGTATGAGTCAGTTCAGGGAAGACTCTTTTCAAAAAATTTACAAAGTATGACCATACAGTGTCACACAAGCTGTTATCTAAGATTATTAGATTAGATTTAAAAAGAACATACTCATTGAATAGAATGCAGTCAATAACAACAACACGATTTTCCTGTTATGTAATAATATAATATATAAATAATATATAAATGACTTATAAGCTTCATTCGGGCAAATTCTTGGTTTAACCGTCAGGGCAACATCATAAATGCAAAGCAAAAGCTGCCTTCCACTGTTAGCAATATTAAGATTGTGCTTCTTCAAAACATGAATGATGTTTGATATGGATTAAAGACTTACATCTCAGTGACACAGGCAGCATTTACATAAGTCACTCTATACTGAAAACTTGTCAAAAATCCTTCCATGTTTCCACCCCAAAAGATAGAATTCCCTGAAACAACAAATGGTTGTTTCGCAACAGCATGTAAAGAGGCACAGGCAACAAGAATATATTAAAGTTTTCGGACCAAAACAAAACACAAACTGTCCAATCGATCACCTCGGATTGACTAGCAGCTACCTTTTTAGCCATCGGTCTCCGAATGTAAAGCACTGGTCCAGACAAAGAGGGGCGACGATGGTGTCAGCTTAATGCTTTACCAAGATGTCCCTGCAAGCCAATGGGAGGTGCCCGAGGCCTATTTCCATGCAGGGGACAAGATGGAGCAACTGGCATGGGACTGGAGCTGTGGTTACAGAAGCATGGCAGCACTCTGGCTACTTTTAATTTTTCTCCTCTAAGAAACCAAAATATGAGCATAGAAAGATCCTCGAGGACAAACAGTACGGACGGACTGTGAAGCAACGGCAACCCACAGCGGGGGCCGTTCTAGACCTCTAGGGGGGCTCAGTCTCTAATGAGAATGTGACATGCATAAAGTGCCTTGCAAAAGTGTTTTACCCTCTGCTAAATCACGCATTTACTTGAATCACAATTGGTACATTAATGTTTTTGTATATACAACATTTTAATACAACAATACTTTAAATGAATCGCTAGTACTGCATGTTTCAACAGGTTAAAAGGAAAACGTTTTGCCGTTCTTTCTCTCTCTATGCTGACTCCATCTTGTTCCCACTCCCTCTCTATCCTGCTCTCTCTCTTTGTGCTGTCAAGCATAAGGCAAACATACCAACTGAAGAGAGTATTTATAAGAGAAGAGAAGAAGAGAGTATTTCTAATATATTAAGAGGATTGAAGATGGGGGGGGTCCATATCAATTTATAAGATTCTAAATGAATATTGTGTTGCTGTCAGCAGTCAGGTGAGGTAATCATTTTGACTTGGCTGTTTTGCTGAGAAAATAACATACATTGTGTTCTATATAAAATGTATGTTGCCTCAAAGGAAGCTTCTTGTTTTAGAACCTATTACCTAAACATTATATATTATTATTTGTTTATTATACTCTTCCTGTGCACATTGTAAAGCAATGACATACCACACAGTGGAAAACACAAAAAGAATGCATTATAATACTGTTGTTGATTTTTTGCCAAGCACGGATAAAGTGTAACTGTAAGCATTGAGGGTAAACAAAGGGAAAGATTTGAGAATAAAACAAACTTCAGGGCTTCATCGGTCAAAGACCCTGTTATGTAATGAGGGTCAGCAGGTCTAAAAGAACAACTGTTAATATGCAACTGCACAGTACCAAAATGTACAGTCTGATACAGACATTGTATGAAAAGGGGTTTCTGCTGTACCTTAACAGCTTTCTTCTTGGGCCCCTCATCCTCTTCAGCCTCCTCGTGCTCCTGGGCCCCCTGGGTGAGGTTGGTGTAGTTTGCCAGTTTATTGAGGAGAGATGACACCATGGGGTTGCTGTCCATCTCCTCCTGCAAGAGAGAAAGGATTTTTTAACATGCAGAAACAAATTATTTGGTTAGAACAAATTCCTTTAATCCCAAATTACAGTAACATAATGTATGTGTCAACAACATACATAATAATGTTTGATTTTTTTAGAATACTTTTGCAACTTTACTTTAGCCTTTGAGTGGCCAGTTACCAGATGCTTCAGAGGACAAACTTCCAGGATCAAAATGAACAGTGCAATATTTAGTCAACTGTTCAAAGCATCTTAGAATAGCACGGCTGGATCAGCTTCATGCAGAACGGAGAAAACAGAAGCCACAGTGCCTAATTGATCCTATACAAGGGCCGGTGACCACAGAGCAGCAAGGTCTGCCAAATGGCAGAGCGAAGCACCTGGCAAAGGTTCAGCTGAGTGAACTTGAAGGAATGCAGCAGCTTTTAATGGCAAATAAACTCTTGAAGGACACATTGTTGAGCTCAGTCAAGATTGGTACCTTCACCTCCTTGTGTACTATTTATTTAGTCAACCACAGCTTACTCTGATGCTTTAACATACTGTGCATTAATGAATGGTTTGAGCTTCATAGGCTGGATCAAATTTAAAACTGCAGAAATAGTTCTGGCAGTGAATATCTACCCCACACTTTGGGGTTTCTCTTTCATGGCCTATAACATCTTTCCAAAACAAATCACACTGTTACGTTTCCTTGTGTAGTAAAACACCCCCATGTCTTGTGTTGGGCCCCATTTAAAGTTGATGATGATAAAAACAACTGGACAGTTACCTCAAAAAGGGCCATGTTGGTGCCATCATAGCTGTTGCCTTTGTCGTTTTCCGTGTTGTTGATAAAGGGACTGTTTTCCTTTGGGACGCCATCACCTGTGGAAACACAACGCAGTTTCTTTACAACAAATTAAGCTTACAAAGTACTGTAGCTTGAAATACGAGCCAATGTCAGCCATATTTGCAAGAACTGGCTTCCTCGTAGGACAAACCTTTTTCACCGTCTTAGGTCTGCAGGTTCTTGTGTTACACCAATAATGAAGCAAAGGCTGTCAGTGTTTTATTGGATCACAGTTTTGCACCCAGTCCATATGCTTTAGGCTAAATATCCAATATTCCATACACATTTAGCCTAACATGTACATAATAAAGCAATCTATTTATCTCTGCATTAGGAAAAAAGAGTGAATCAGTACTTTCCTTTAATGGTTCAATTCTATTACTGTTTGTTCTAAATCTGTAGAGAGAGAAGTGACAGCTTTGATCTGCTGTGGCAGCAGAAAATAACATCCAATACACAGTCAACATGATCCATAGAAAATATCTGTGTCATACCCAATGCATGGGCTGTGGATCAGGTCACAACATCCCGAGTTGGAGGAATTTTAAAATCTAAAAACAATAAATGATTTGTCTGTTCCTGCAAAAAATACCAAACTATTACTAAGGTGAAAGGATTTTTGTTTTTGCCTTGGACTCGTGTGCACATTATATTGTTATATACCTTTTTAATCATCTAGATCATGATAAGGACTTCTCTATGCATTACCAATTTATACCTAAACTGTAAAAAGGTTTAATATCTTTAGAAATTGACTTATAGTTCACATTGTACTAAACATACATAAGTAAATCATGACACACTGACAAAAGAATTAAACAAATTCTACACAAAGGCAATCGGCAATCTGGCAGTACAGTGGAAGACTATGAAGGATGGGGTCCATATGTTTCAGACACCATCAAGATTGTCAGTGAGAACTTGTACTAATTTAGAAAATATATATTTTGGGGCATTTTATTGCCTTCAATTGATAGTAAAGCTGAAGATAGACAGGAAAGGGTCAGACAGAGGGGATGGGCCACAGATCGGACTTTCCTAACAAAGTGCAAAATCTCAGCATGACACAGCATAAGTAAACATTCAAGTGGATTTAATAAATGACCGATCATATCTATAACTAACTGAACTATCCTGTGTGCCAAGCCACACAATCTTTTTAAGACAGAGAACACTGAGCTACACAAACGATGTAATGACAACCTGAATAGATTTTTTGTCTTTCCAATTGAGAAACCAAAGGCTTGATATGGCATGGTGATAGTTTAACTGATTTACTCAGAAGGTGTACCTTTGTTTTTGAGTTGGTGGTTAAACAAAATGAGTATTTTAAGACACAGATCTGACAGTGGCTGATAGTTGAATCTGCATTGTCATCTCACACTGCCTTTCAAGGATTTAAACTCACGTCCTCATTATGCTGGAATAGCATAGATAATACGCTTTTGCAGAATACAATTGGATCTCATTTTGAGCTCCCATGAGGTAGAGGACAAGAGACGCCGCCATGTTTCAACTAAACTCCTCTTCTCCACTTAATCAACTGCGACAGGACTCACACAGTCCATCTACATCACACTCAGCAACCGAGCCGTCTTCAGAGACAACATTCTAGCATCAAACTGTGAACCACGTTGTGTCTTTGCTGCTGGGGCTGGCAACCTAACACGGCGATGCACTGAGCAAATGTTCTGAATGAACAGACAGCTTAGAGTGTTGGGGCTAAGATACCCGACATGCTATAGTCAAGTCCAAGTGTAAACAGTGAGGGATCTCATTTCGAGACAAATGTGTTTGCTAGAGATTATCTGTGTGAGCATGTGTGCTTCCCTTTACTACGTCATATTACTTTGAAAGCACACATGTAGTCTGATGCAAAAGAAGAAGAAAAGTAAGCAGCATGAAGAGCAATTCCTTTATTTCCCACAATCTGATTCACCAAAATTCTCCCTATTCCCTCTGAGGGTTCAAATAAAGTCAAAATAATAGAACCTTTAGGCTGCTGCCTCAAAGCTATGATTGTGAGTATGACGGAGTGAGAAAGAGCAGTTGAAGTAGATCCCAGTTCTTCCATGCAACACGGGTAAAAAGAAAACTCTGCTGGCGTAAGCCTTAGTAAAACAAACACACAGAAAAAAAGCTACATTGTGCTTTATGGACAATAAAACAGTATAAATAAAAGCCAATAAGACAAACAATAAAACAATGAGCATGAAGTTCAAAAGAGGAAAAATACAACAGGAAACCAAACAGAGGTGGTGACTATAAACCTCTTAAACTGAAGAGCAAAGTCCATAAGAGAGCTAACAGAGGGACACTGGAGGACAGAGAGTGGAACCACAGTAACACTATCATCCAGACAAAACATGTGCAGCCATTCCTGCAGAAACAGTCACTCACCATTAAACTGGCAACTGCAGCCACTGCTTTTAATGACTCAAAACATTCAGGTGAAAAGCCACTTTGCAAGCCTAACTGAATATTAGCAGTACAATACAGTAGCTGAATAGTCTGTATGGTAGACTATTTTTGTATCTGAAATTCGCTGCACTTAGGAATTTAGAAGCAAAAACTAACTAGAGACAGTAGATTCTTAAAGCATCCCACCGCCTCCCTTCAGGCGACCCTTCAAAGCCACTCCTCCAAAACACATTTGCATTGAGTGCATTGGCAGAGCGTGCACAGGGCCTACCTGACAGGCAGGTATGATTGGCTGGGCTTATTACAGGCCCACAAAAGATACTAGATTTTTTTCTTTTTTTTCCAGAGCATCTGATTTATTGAAAAAGAGAATTTCAACAAATATAACAAAGAAATGCCCCTGAAATACATTAGCTTTATTTGGCTAATCGTTTCAGTTCACACTTAACTGTAGGCTGTTGGACCAGGTCTATTCAGGGGTGCCATGCAGATCCATAAAAATGTGTTAAATATTCAATACATTAACGGAGCGACAGATTTAGAGCTTTTTCTTATTTAATTAAACCCTTTGCCTCAATGATCCATCTCAAAGTCACAACAGTAACATTATCCAGTTCCATTATAAAGTGCTCCATTTGTTCATAAAGAGTAATTTTTAACAAATTTGTTTTAAGCTACAGACACTGAAGCACTTTAAGACAGGGCAAAAATACCCCAATATTTATGTTTTTTTTTACTCTCCTTACATCGCTGAGAGGCCATTGCTGACCATGGCTCTCTGCCGCATCTTCTTCATTCATCAGTGGAGCTGCCGACTGAGAACTCTGGCCACTGTGGGGATTTCATGGGTAACTTTTACTGCTTGATCCAGCTGCATGGGGAATAAGAGGCTTGCAGCAGTGGCTTAGGCTCGCAGTAATCACAGGGAAAGTCACTATGTCCTTGTACTGTATAGCTCTTTAAAACGCAGTCTGAGTGGGATATTGAAATACATTAGGTGAGGGCACGGCGTTTCAATAAGCTGGGATAACAGGGGAATGAATTGAACATAATGACCATTGTAGTGCGAGGATGCAGCCAAGGGTGAACCAACCTGTCAGTCATCGCTTAGCTTGGTTGGATGCTACACACCACAGGTAATCATTGTCTTAAATGAAACTAGCTAAATCCTCTTTGAGGTCCCGGGGGCAAGCTAAAACAGGCAGCAGTGTTTCCAAATGAGGTAAGGTTTCAGGTTTTAGAACGGACCCACGTGTGAAGTGGTTTAAATGCCAATCAGAAAGTGAACGGAACGATTCATTCACTCCAGCTCTAATGGCTAATGGTACACAACAATACAGTTAAGAAAATATTTTGTGACACAGCGATTAAGTTATGTTAAAGGGACAATGTATAGTATTTACCTCCCTCTGCCATTCTGAGGACCGGATAAAAAAGGGTGGAAGGGGGGGTCCTAGTATGTCCCTTGGAACTCCAGTAATGGGTCCAAAGTATAGAGTATGCTAGTGAGGTGCAGAGTCAGGAATGCGCTGTGCTGTGTGGTATGTAGATCACTATTTCTGAGCGTGTGGGGTTTGTGTGGTGTGGGTGTGTGTAAAAAGTGGCTGTGACGACGATGTCAGCGACTCAGCCCATCACAAGGCACCTCACCTCCCCCGACGCCGCGCGACGCACGCACACACACACACACAACACACACACACACAACAC